TATGTATATATATATATATGTATGTATATATATATATATATTATATGTATGTATATGAAAATGGGTTGGGTTTCGGTGAGGAGAGAAGTTATTGTGAGAAGCTTAAAAATAGATCTTGATCCTAACTTCATATTAGGAGGAGATGGATCAGATCAATCTTTGTGTATCAAACACAATTCATGAGTGGGTATGAGATTAAAAGTGACAAAAGGTTCAAATCTCTTATTATACTTCTCACCATAACTTCTTTTTTTACACGATCCTTCACCCATAAAGACGGAGGCAATTACGTATAACTGTTATTTTTTTACAAAAACTACCAAGATTGATTGTCTTTTAAGTTTTAACGAAAAGTACAATTACGTCAGCTATATCTTAATGAAACTGTACTTGTACTATATTTTTAATTTTTATATAATGGGGTGTTTAGTTCGCTTTAAGAAATGAAAATGTGATTGGTAATTAAAAGATGGTAGAATGAGAATCATTATTTTTATTTCATTTTATTATATTATTAAGTATTTCCTTAAAATTAATTAATAATAAAAAAACCAAAAAGAAACTTGATAGGCACGTAATCCATCGTATCATACCATCTCTTTGATGCAGTCGAGAAGGAGCGAGAGGTAGATTAAAAGAAAAAGGTTTCTATTCCCTCCAATTGATGATGAATGATTTTTAACCAAATTTATTATAATGATTGATTAATTTTTTGAAACCAAACATCATTTTTTTTATTAACTTTGATATTCAACCCGCTATGCGAGCCGACTAATCCTCGAACGACCACCTGCTTTGCAGATAGCCGGGAGTCACTGCATTTGAACCTCTGTGGCCACAAGGAGATTTTTATTTCTCTTTGGATTTGAAACTGAGACTTCCTATTACTTTTGACCTTTGGAGTCAAGCTCAAACTAATTAGGCACCACCCTTGTGGTTACTAAACATCATTTTTATTCCATTTTAATTCCTTAATTGAACCAAAATGTAATTAATGATTATCATTTCCATTTATTACCTTCTAATACTCCCAACCAAACACACCTTAAAAATGAAATAAGTACCGTTGCTTGAAATTACATATTTTAGGGGTTGTTTGTTTACCTCTTAATAATTCCATTAAGAGGCACTTTGAATCGTTAAGAAGTGAATCTTGTGTGACAAAAAAAACTCTGTCTCTTAATGGTTCTAAAACCTTCTGAATGATTTTGTATTCTTGGTATTCCTTAATCATTCAGCACCCTAATTTCATTGTAAACAATTACCAAACAATCGCATTTCATTTTTCACTCTATCATTAGTCTCTTAATCATTTTGCACCAAACCATTTAGCAACTGTCAAACACCCACTTAGTTTCAATCTTTATAAATCTCTCGTCATCTCTATGTGTGTGTGTGTGTATAAATATATATATATATATATATATATATATATATGATTAATCAAATAAAATAATAAGAAAATACTCGAATCACATGTGATTTTATATAAAATTACTTATGATTCGACTATTTTCTTGTTCTTTTATTTGATTATTGTTCTCATATAAATATAAATATATATATATATATATATAATTAATACTCAAATATTTTGTAAAAAGTGAAACACTTATTATTGTTATTCTTATTAGTTAATAAATTAAAGATATAAAGATTGGTGGAGAGCTCGTGCACATTTAATCTATAAACTTATGAAACCAAGTATGGAACACCATCCTACTCATTTACATCCTTCTTCTATTTATTATTCCATCTTATTTTTTTTATTATTTAATCCATTTTCAAATATCTCACGCTAAACATTTAATGTTAGGAGTCAACACTATAATTTTATTTTATTAGGTAAGATTGTAGTATATCAAAACGTATCATATACAACAAACAATTTACCTGGTAAATATTTTCCCGGGTAAGAGTCGTCACCCTCACTTACCGAGTAAGACTCTTAATCCTTATCATCGCTCTTACCGAATAAGATTCTTGTCCCTTGCCATGTTCATCCGGTGAGGAAAATTACCCGGTTAGCATTTAGCAATCGGCCCCTTACTTTTAAAAACGAACATTTATTTTTAAAACAGTAACGTATACAATTATTTAAAGTTGAGAATGTGTCACTTGACGAGGTAAGGATATTTAAAGAAAATGAATAGAGAAATGAGTACAGGGGCTGATTGGCAATTGCTGAATGATGAGCAAAATGATTAAATGGTCAAAATGATTAAGAGGCTCTCATAATATAGTGCAAAAAGAATGTTTGGTAATTGTGTACAATGAAATCAGAGCTCTTAATGGTTAAGAGAGATTCATGATACAAAATCATTCAGAGGATTTTTAAATCATTTTTTTGCCAAACAAGATTCACATCTTAATGATTCAGATGTTGTCTCTTAATGGGACTATAAGGAGGCAGCAGTATCTTATTAAGTTTCCAATAAATAAATGAAAATTTATGGAGATTGAAGTGAAATTACCATTATGCCCTTGTCTTTCTCTCTCCCGAGGCTCTCCACCCATCTTTATCCCCCGTACACGCACAATATCTCTTCTCTCTCTCTTCATCTCCTCCCACCATTTTCTTTCTCTCTGGTGAATTGTTGGAGATCCCGCATGGCTTCCATCTCTCTCAATTGATTCCTCTCTCTCTCTCTCTGTTTCTTTATCACTTGTTCATTCAATTCTTGAAAACCCCAGATCCCCCTTTCTTGTTTCTTACTTGTTTGTTAGGTATGATGTCTTCCCTCCGCCCAGATCTGACCAACAAAATCTACCCTGAACCGTCCTCCTTCACCTTCTCCTCGCCGGAGGAACCTGTCGACCATTTTGACCTTCTCCCGGACTCTCTCCTCCTCCTGGTCTTCAACAACATCGGGGATGTCAAAGCCTTGGGTCGTTGCTGCGTTGTTTCCAAGCGATTTCATACCCTTGTTCCGCAGGTTGAAAACGTCGTCGTGCGTGTCGACTGCGTTATATCTGATGACGACGCCACCTCCGCCTCCGCTGCCTCTGATAAATCTCGTGGACCCTTTTCCAGTCTCGTGAGACTCGTCGTTGGAGGAATCGTTAAGCCCATCCAAGCTCTTGGCCAGTTCTTGGGACCCAAGAGATCCTCGTCGTCGTCTTCATCCTCGCCTTCTTCGTCTTCGTCCTCGTTATCCGTCGGAAACAACGTTGATGGTGATGATGATCTTGAACAAGGAGGTGGAGTTACTCACCATTCTCCTACACAGGTTCTCAAAAACTTTAACGAGATTCGATTTCTTAAGATCGAGCTTCCAAGCGGCGAATTGGGGATCGAAGATGATGTATTATTGAAATGGAGGGCGGATTTTGGATCGACCTTGGATAACTGCGTCATGCTCGGCGCTTCCTCCGTGATTCACCCCGAGAATTTTACATCTAGTGACAGTAGCTTCGATGGAGTATGTGGGATTAACGGGATTGGGGTTGGGAATGATGATAATGGGAGTATACCCGAATCGTTTTACACCAATGGTGGTTTGAAATTACGGGTAGTGTGGACTATAAGCTCATTGATTGCAGCATCAGCAAGGCACTACTTGCTTCAACCCATAATTGCTGAGCATAAGACATTAGATTCGTTGGTTTTAACAGATGCAGATAGACAAGGGGTGTTGTGTATGAACAAGGAACAGTTAGAGGAGTTGAGGGTGAAGCCATTGTCAGCTTCTTCAGCTTCAAAGAGAACCCTTGTGCCAGCTTTGAATATGAAGCTCTGGTATGCTCCATATTTGGAACTACCTAATGGGACTGTTCTCAAAGGAGCTACATTGGTGGCAATTAGGCCTAGTGAGCAGTCAGGACAGAAGGAGGTTTCTGATGGCTCATGGGTTTCATCTGCTTTTGAGGAGCCTTATGGAACTGCTGCCAGGATGTTGGTCAAGAGGAGGACTTATTGCCTTGAGATGAATTCCTTCTGAGGTATCACTTTAATGAAATTCAGTTGTTACTTGCTTTTAGTTTGGTTTAATATCATGAAAATCTGGTGAAATAAGCAATGGTGTGTTCTTTTTTTAGTTTGATAGGTTGCTGCTGTGTGCTGCAATGTTTATTGTTCTTCTGTAGACTCCATGGTTGATACTTGATATTCATATTTGATATCTTACTTTGGGATGACATCTATTGCAAATTAATATAAAAATGTGCAAAGGCATTACTTTATAGTTTATAACATGCATTACTAGGTTATTTGTTTTTTAGGAAGTTAGATCAGCCATGGTCATAGTATGCCTGCTCTATACTCCTTCACGCACTTTTCACAAGCTGTGGATCTTCATACATCTTACCCTGTTCAGACACCACCTCAGGGTGGGATATACTAGGCTCATTAGGTCTGGTTTAGATCCATTGTCATAGGGTAATTGCTCAATTTTAAATGTTTGCAAGGTTTAATGAACATTGGTTCTTTTCAAGTTCTTCTGGCTAAGTTTGGTCTCATGTCATGAGACTTGTTTGACATAAGCAAAACTTGTTTCAATGTTGTCTTTGATATCCATTAACTGGAATGAATGAAACTAAGCTTGATTGGGAGCATCTAATGATGCAAATGCAGTGGCTGTTGGTAGTTTGGTAGATTATTTTGTTTAACTCGCTTATCATTCACTTTTGGATAGTATGATGTGCACCTTGCAATATAGATGCATTGTGGTGTATTTTGATCTTAGAAAGTTAATGCTTTCAAAATTTCTCGTCTTGTAACTATTTAATTTTGCTTGTTACTCATCCTTGGTTTTATTTTTTACCATCAACTTGTTTGATACAGTATTCTCATTATCTTTTTTGTTTTTCAGTTTTCATGGCTTCCTAAAGGCATTAGCTTTATGATGGCTTTGGGAGTTGAGGATTCTTGAAGGCAGTGAAAACACACAAATTTGTTCTGCATGTAGCTTACTCTATATATATGAGCTTTGATGGTACGAATGTTACTTACCTTGCATACTTTGGTGAAGTGACCGTCCGTGGTTGAGACAAAGACTGTCACATTTGGTGCTTCAACTGATGGTTGGTATCGGGTATGTTTCAATTTGTGTATGGGAGGAAAAAGCGAGAAAACAGTTGCTGGTGGATGGTGTTGTAAGAGCTTCTGTGGTTCTGTGTTTCTAGTCATCTATATTTTATACGATCTTTATTTCTGTGAATATTTATAGGGGTATGAAACATGAGTAGTGTTTATATGTGGCTGTAAACGTTCATTCATTCAGCAATGTTACGCTCAAACTGGCTTCCTTTCTTTCTGTAGATTTTTCTGTTCTACTTTCAAGATCTTCTCTGAAGTATTGATTCTTGAGTTGTTTGTGGTAGACTTGTTGCTACTTCATTAGTGTAGTTCCCATGTTTTTGTTATAATACAGATAGTGTGGTTGTATCTATGAGTTGTATCAATCACATTGGATTAAGGCAATGGTTTGCTTGTTCAGTTCTTGTTTCTCCTTTGGCATCATGTGATACATGTTCATGAAATTACCTCAAATTCCAGTGCTTCTTTTCAAGTGTTTAAACTTTAAACATATAGGAATGCCTGGTTCTTGCTTATCATAAAATGAGACCTGGTTTGGTATGGGCTGAAAAGAAGCAAATTTATGAGTGATTCCTGCATGATCATCTTGGTAGCCTCTCTTCAAGGAGTGATAGGTTGTTTTTGTCCTTATGGATGTGGATGTAATGGTGTGGTCTTGTTTACAGTTCATATTAAAAGTAGGTATTGATGAGCAGTGGCATTCATTAACCTGTTTCTGCAGACTGATTTGCTTTGGAGAAGTCAACTGACAGCTTCAGTCATTCCTACACAAATCTTGATTTAATGATTCTAACAAGCCCAATGCCAAATCTGACATATCCACACCCACATTGATTCAATCATTATTTCAACCAAAACAAGTCTTGAAATTAATAGATAGATAGATAGAAAGTTGAGAAAAGAAACATAAACACACAAGGCAAAGCAGCCCTTGCATTAATGATAATGCATTTCAAGCAAAAGTTTCAAACTGAAAACAAGAATGTTTGTTTGCCTTCTTCCTCTCATCAATCACTTCACTGCAAATAACTTATATATATTGTCTTGATAAATTAATTTTATCCATACCCATTTCTCCCTCCATCTTCAGTACCTATCTGCACAAAAAACATATATATAGAATTTCAGTTACAACTATTTGAAGCCAAATCCATCAAATGAAAACAAAAATGGAATGGATGCAACAAGTTTATGCATTGTAGGGGATATTCCATACCTCCTACTTTCAAATTTGAAAGTGAATTGTGTCGGTGTCAATGACCATTTTCAAGCTAAGGTGTGGTTTACCAGGTCTTTCAAGAAAAATGGATACGACAAAATGTGTCGTCATCTTTTCTTTTCAACGTTATTTACTGTTTCGTAATTTGATTAGTCTGAAAGTTCATTTAGTGTCTGCTTCTACTATGACTATCCCTCAAATACCAGTATTCTGCAATTGTACTAACATCAGCAGAGCTGAGCATTATGATCAGCCTCATTTACCATTCAAGGCTTAACAACATCAAACCACATCCAACAAGGGAAAAATTAATAACCAAACCACTATATTTGAACTTAACACCACTTTCTGTCAACAAGTGAAAACTTAATAACCAAACACTGTATTTGAACTTAACACCACTTTTTGTCATGTATACTCCAATTTACCAAATGACTCCTACAAAATCCTCATGGAAAGCTTTATTTGTGTTTACAACCTTCAGGAAACGTCCACACTTCAAAATATTCTAAATATAAATTCGTTTATTCTCTAGAATTTTTGTGGGAGTTGGAATTTAAAGAATTCCCTGATTTATAACCAAGAAAGTTGTAATAAAACTTTTCCATTAACAGGGGAGTTGGTAGGTTGAGTTAGAATCATAAAAGAGGCAGATAATGTGGTAAGGGCCCATATTTTGGTTTTAAGGACAACAATACAAATGACAGTCCAACATCATGACTGGTGTAGAAGAATGACAGAACAAGACCTCTACAACTCAATATGAAATACATCTTGCTCCTGATATGGTTTTGTTTGAGTCCCACCTCGATTAAACTTTGGCCATTTCTCCTTAAGATATATTAGATCTCAATGCTTTTTTGAAGAGTAAATTTTATGGAGTTCTACATATTCTCACAAGTTTAAAACTAAAGCACTAAACCCTCCTCTTCCAAGCAACCACACAAGATACTATATCTATATGTTGCTAACATCATCAAAATAGGTCACATTAGAGCATCTCCACTTACAAGTTCTTTTAAGCAAAAAGTATAGTTCTTATAGATCACTGCCATTGTGGAGAATTCTTACAAGTTACCCATACTTTTGGAGTTCTTGTATAAAAACTTAAGTTCTTACCTTGAATTTTGTGTGAAATATTATTTTATTAGTTATTTAATTGATTTGAAAAAATATAATAAATATTAATGGTGAAAAAAGTACATGGAATGGAACCCATAAAAAAAGAACTCTATTGTGAGATTTTAGGAAGGCTTTTAATTTGGTGAGTTGACAATGATGTGACAGAAAAAAATCAAAAAATTGAAGTTGCTCTTAGCATTATGATTACTTGATACGTAAACTTTATGGTGTGTTATGCCTTACAATCTTAAAAGAACAGTCAAATAAACTAAATGTGGTCCTAGATTGTAAAAGTTTCAAAACTGAAAAGTCAAGACTCAAGAAGATCAACATCCATGCTAATGATTATCCATTAATTTAAGATAACTTACTGTAAGGTAAGTTAACAGAATTATAATGCAAATGTTTGGCAACAAGATTATTAGCATTAAAGTAAAAAAGGTATTCACCTACAAGTTCACGGTCATCATGAGGGAGGTAGATGGCACATGCATCCCATAGGCAAAGGGGGCGGTGGCTGGGCTCAAACCCGAGACCTCACGCATATGGATTACACCCACACTTCCATCGCTAGGACCGATCAGCGGGTGAACAAACCATATTTAAATACACATCTTAACTTAAGAACACATGGATAAGTAAAAGCAGCCATGCATCAAGTGAAAGTTCACAGACAACATAAGCAAGACTAAAATCTAACCTCACCCTAAAATGAACCATATTAAACTCCCCTAATAAAAGGACAATATCATGCATTTGTTGACCGACTTTAGGAAGGCTTCATGGAGCTATATATATATATATATATATATATATATATGGCTTGGTGTAGAATTGGGGGTAGTTCTGTTCGTTATCAGGATGTGAGAGGTTCATGTCCGTAAGTTGTGGATTGTAAGATCAAGGTACAAAAGTTGCTAAAGTAGTTGCAGAAGAACTCAAGTGCAGTGAGAAATGATCATTTCAATTAGGGTTTTCATTAGTACATGTGCCATCCTACACTTTGGTAATGTGAGGAATGCTTTGCTGATCAAATCCTAGATATGGTTGGAAGATTCCAGAGTAGCACATTATTGAAAACATGGCTTTTGATAGGAGTTCTTAGAGTGGCAAGATTGAGGCAGCAGACTAGGTGTAGGACCTGTACCTAGCAAGGATGGTAGGATGAGCTGGAGAGGTTGAATGTGGGATGGGGGAGGATTAGAGAGCTAGCAAATAGGTCACCAACGATAGATAGAGGAATTTTCCTTGTACCTTTTTTTATGTTTTAATGTACCTACTTTTTACTCCTTGTCTTTCCTGTTTTTTTTCTCTCCTGTTACTCACCATTTACTGGTTTTTGTCCTTACCTTTTCACTCACACTTTTTCACAAGCCGATCATGATAATACCCTTTCTACCCTTTGATAAGATTATTTGGTGATTAGTTACTAGTGAATTATAGTGATTTGGATGATTAAAATGATTTGGATGATTAAAATGGTAATTTATTTTCATTCAGAATCCTTATCAAAGAGTTAATTGAGCACTTATCCTCTAATATATCTTATTCATCTAGTTTTGACAAAGAGACTCATAGTACCAGGTCCATTATACTTCTTAGTAACAAACCACTATGTTACACCCCAGGGTCAATATCAATAGGAAGGTACAAGTAGTTGGTGCAATAGTACAAATAGTTGGAGCAATAGTACAAGTAGTTAATGCAGACTATCACCTATAAATAAAGGAGTTGGGGTTTGAGGGGGTATCAATTAGTTTTGTGTGAAATTGAGATTGGCTACAGTCTTGGGAGAGCTCTAAGTCTCGAAAACTGATAAACCTTTGTATACATTAATAGAAGGTTTTAGCATTTGATAATGGGTATGCGACACACTATCCATGCACCTATAGCATATTAAGGTACAATGAACCACTCCTCATTCATTTATAGCACATTCACGTACTTCTATTTATTTTAATGTCTCTTTATCTTAGATTGATTACTTGTGTTTGAGATCATAGGAAGGGTACAATTTTGAAAGGTGAGATACATATAAAAGTCTTTTCATACAACCCTTCTGTAGTTCCTCCTAAGGATTTTTGTAGTTGCACATGTGCATGATCTTTATAATTAAACTTGATGCTTGGGCTAATAGGTATACTTTCATGTGCCCTAGCTAGATCCTAAGAAAGGATATCGATGTCACAACTATCTAAAAGGTACTCCGTTTCTTCGTCTTACTTTGGCATCCCCCTTTCGGTTTCTAATAATGCTCATGGTGACTCCTTGACTATATATATACACACACACACACATATATATATATACATATATATATATATATATATAGGTGGAAGTTCAAACGAGAACCCCTATGATTTACGAAAACGCAAGAACAACTCAATAACCTCAATGAGCCTCCAGCTAGGGGTGAAAGAAGCACATTGCTTCTTCTCCACAAGTTAAAATGCCTGCTCTAGAAGCTAAGAAGGACTGTTCTTATCGTAGCATTCACCTGTAAATCCCCTAATTATGTTGGTAAACCCATTACTACAATTAGTTGTTCAACATCTAGCCATTTTCCTTAATAAAAAGCATCCCAATGAGAGGTTCTTATAAGCAAGAAATTGTAGTTTTTATTAGTCACTACCATAGTGGAGGGTTCTTATAAGTCGCTAACGTATTTTGAGTACTTGTATAATAACTTCGATTCTTGTCTTGATTATCGTGTCAAATTGAGAGGTTCTTATAACCACATTAAATTTAACAAAAAGTGGGATTCTTGTAAGTCACTACAATAGTGGAGTTTTATAAAGGTTCTTAATTTGTTAAGTTAGTAATAACGTAACGAGAATAAGTGCAAAAATGAGGTTCTTAATAGTCACTCCATTGAAGATGCTTTAAGCTTGTCTTTCTTTGAGTTGCCATAACTTTTTCTCTATTATGGACAACCATCATATTTTTTTGGAATTTGTAACACTTCCAAGATGGAGGAATAGAGGCTATTTGGTTGGTTTTTCATTAAGTCTTGTATCGATAAAGTTGTGTTTGTATATTAATCCGTGTGTATAGGTTGGAAAGATTCTTGTTTAGGAGGTTTCTTTCGTAGATTCAAGGAGCGTGTTTTTTAATTGGGAGATGACAGATTGGAGAAAACTTGGCATTCTGCATAAAGTTTCATCCTAAATGCTTACTGTATAAGCTACTTTCTATGTCATCAAGCTATTACCGAACAATCATGTATAACTGACAGAATAAACTGTGAGTCCCATTAAACTCATTAAGTTGGTAACAAACGTACCGTAAGTTATGCGGGAGGAACATAAACTCTAGAGAAAACCAATTATCGCCCTGGCAAGGCTATGTAGGCTGCACATGGATAATAATGCATTTAAATGATTCTCTTGTTTGAAAGCCTATTAACAGCTAATTGTTTATGGTGAGAATTATAACAAGACTTTTAGTCCTGTAGATAAGATAGCGTCAGTTTGTCTTAACATAGTCCCAAGATTGTTTGAACAAGATTGTATGGGTGAGAATGAGATAGGCGAGTTAGAGAATAATTGTTTCAGGGTTTTAATTTGATATGAGTTGTTTAGTAATTTATCAATTTTACATTTTTTGTCCCACTCAGCCTTATCATATCGCAGTCTAACATGCCACCAAACATTAAACAACAAAATTGTGTTCAATCCTGTTTCGTTTTGTCAAGTGTATCAAATGCAGGTGCTTTTGGAAAAGGTCTCCGGCCTTGACACCGGAACTTTACAAGCATTCAAATCAATGCATGCCCTTATAGTAACAGATCATCTACTATAGTTTTTCTACCTCTTTTTATGGGTATCTTACACCTTGAAAGAACAAGAAGCAAGATGTAATTTCGCATGAATATTGAACTATGGCCTGAATCTTTGGATCAATGTTTTACAAAAGTATTAGTGGACTTTTATCTTGGAGTGATAGAATCTTTTTCATTACATATTTTTTCAATAAAAATTATCTCACACATCCATAATGTGACACTATTTCCTTCCATTTTGCAAGTATTTTACACATGCATGCACATATAAGCTATAGATTTGTTAAGTTTAAATTGTTTTTTTTTTTTTTGTTAAACTTTATAATTTATATAAGGTTGCCTAATTTGCAGGGTTGCACAAAGAGTAGGCTTTCTAGAGTAGCAGGTTCAAATTCTTCATAGGGGATTTAACTATTGGTGCATCACATCTTTTTAAACTAGTTTGTATATAATCTTTAGAAATACAAAGTAAACATTTTATATGAGTTTAAAAGGCTTTTATCCTTAGCATACTTGTTAAATACCAGAAAAATTACTGCTTTTTATTGGTTTCAAATTTTAAAAGATTATGGTTTAAGCCTGGCATATATATCCAAAACAAAACAAAAAGTACAGGCACTAAATGCTTAACTATTAACTTTTCTCATTTATTAGTCATATAACTTTTTTAGGAGCCATCTTATTGAGAATTTGTTGTAAAATCCCAATTTATTAAAATACAAAAAGTATCTTGGATTTCAAAATTTAGTTAAATATCATTTTTTTCCTTGTTTAGGCCAAAGATGCCATTTTTGTCAATCTTGGTTGCAACCAAATTGAAGGTAAAACCCTTGTAAGAAAAATTGAAATAAAACCTTAATTAGTAGGAAAAAGTAATTCTACTATTGCATTAAATAATAATAGATAGATGAAATATGTAAATTAAGTAGTTTATAACAACATTAAAGATGGAATTTTACAATCATTAAACCCAAGCATAGTATTTTGGCAAATGTGTTTCACTTCACATTTTGGAAACAATTTGTATATGATAATTTTGTTACTTTTCATTTATGGATCTTTTAATTTTTGCATCTCACACAACCTCAGCAAATCCATCTTAAGAATTCGTTATAATTTTTTTTAATATAATTATAATATTCCAATATTTTTACAATCAAGAGTTTAGATAGATAATATATGATCATATCCTTATAAAAAATAACATTTTAAAAATAATACTAATCAGAAGTTCTTTTCTTTAAAAAGGGGGGAAAACAGGATTGCAGGGTGTGGGGGGAGGATTATTTTGTGATTTCAACCACCAATCAGAATGCATCCGTACGTGCATGGATGTGTGGGTCCAAAAGCAAAAAAACCCTAAAGCAAAAATGGTGGGTTATGTGCTCGAAATCTGCAGAGTGCTCGGGGAGGCCCAGCCCGGCAACAAAAATAAATATCGGGTTCAGTGAAACATAATGCCAAGTGGCCAATTATAAAAACATTAAAAAGACTTGGATTTAAGGAATCTGTCGGAATTTTAATGAAGGTGGGTTCATGTTAATTAAAGTAGATGATTAACACCTGTCTTCCCTTGAAGACATGCTTGAACCAAAGGAAACCCAAATCATCAATGAATCCATAAACCCAACAAAACAAACACCTACCCCCCAATCTAATCCAATCCCGTATATCCTATCATAATCAAACTCCCTAATTATATATTAATTAATTAATAATGAACATAAAAAATTAACAATTAAAAATTGTCACCCACATATGTCAATTAAAAGAAACTGTTTTTACTTTCACATATCAATTCTAATACTTATTTACATTTTCAAGATTAACTATTTGTACGTAAATATAGGATATAATTATTTATTATAGGGTACTTTAATAATTTAAATAATAGTTAATTGTGTTTACTCAATATCTTGATTACTAAGACATTAATTCTAATAATAATGTAAATCTATAAATGATGAAGGATTTTACCAAATATGCAACACGAACATAAAACTTCAAAATAACTACATTTTTTTAGCAAAGTTAACAACTTAATAATTTGAAAACTACTAATTATCTTAGCTACCCAAAGACTATTGTACTATTCTTACAGAATCTTTTTTGGATATAATTTTTTAAAATGTTAAATTTGGAATTTTGGAAATTCCAAGCTACTCATTGAGATAAAAGCAAGATTTATTTTGTCAAAAAGTGTCCTTTGCAGCTTAGAACTTCATCCAGACAACTCAAAAAGATGATATTTGTTTCAATGTAATTACAAAAGACTTACTCATGTAGGTATATAAGCTTTTTAGTTAATAAAAGCAAAAAAAACATATTTTTTTGAATCATAAACATAAAAAGACACATCGTATCATGTATATAAATATGATGCCTCTTGAATATGAACAATCAGATAGTAAATGGTGTGACATTCTTCATGATCTAAATACCATTTCTGTAAAAAAATTGTAGAAAATGCAACACTTTCAAATAATTCTATTGATCAAAACCAATATTACTCGTAAATACCCACATATGCATAGCAAAAGAAGCGAGACAACCCATTTTTGGTTTAATATGCAAAAACCAAGTTTTGATTTGAACTACTTTCATTCTGCTTACTTTAAAGACATCCCAACAACTTGAATAAACCAAATTGGCAAACTTAACTAAAATAGGTTTCAAGAAATAACTTTTATTTTTGCAACTCTTGGAAATGAAGTAATTTTACCCAAAAATGGCATTGTATTGTTAGGGTTAGTGAGGTCAAGAGAGTTCCATTTCTAGATGGAAGTGCTTAATTAATCTACTCCCCTGATAAATGCAATAGCAGATTATATATACATAGAGAGAGAGAGAGATGCATAATATATAGATGTGTGTGTATATGTAAAATATATATAGATGTGTGTGAAAAAAATCAAGAATAGAGAACATATGAAAGAGATTTACCAGAGAATGAGATGGGGAAAGAAGCCATTGATGCAACCTCAGTTCTTCGCTTTTTCTTTGTGATGATCAGAATTCCGTCCTACACCATCTCCTCCGCCGCCGTAGCTTAGGTGCAAACCCTGGGAGTCGTAACTGCCTGTTGCCGGAAAATGGTCGGAGGCGGCGTTTGGAACGATGAAGAACGGAAGATTTGTGGGTGTTGATCCATCTATGGAAGACGATTGGAACCTCTGGATGTGGTGATGATGAGGCAAAAGAGAGGATGGTAAATTGGACTGAAGGGTCCCCCTACTGAAACCCGGAGCAAGGGCGGCGCCACCGGATGATGATGTCATTGAGAAGTTTAAGTTGTAACTTTCTCCCCCGCCGCCGCCGCTGCTACCAGCCGTTGTCACCGCCGGTACGAAACTGTCTTGAAGGAAGGAGAAATGGTGTTGTTGGTTGTTGTGGTGGTGGTGGTTATCTCCGGCGGTGATGTTGAATTGTGGCATTTGGATTAGCTGACTTGAAGGCGGTGGAGGGCGGCTGAAGAAATAATCCATAGGAGTTGTCCAGTGGGCTCTTGACTCGGGACTCGCCGTGGGATTTTGACGACGGACGGTGGTGCTGTTAATGCCGCCGGTGAGGAGATCCGTGAAAGATGAGTTTTCCGAAATATTATTCACCTGATTCAGAACAGCAACCCTAGTGGAATCAGTTTCCTTATCCTTCTCCTTCTTCGAAGCCATTTCCCTCGCCCGTTCTCGAGCTTTGACCCGATTCTCCGATCGAGATAACGAAAGCCCCGACCCCTTACTTGTTTCAGATGTACTACTACACGCCGGCGATTTCGCCTGAGAAACATTGTTATTATTACTATTTTGTTGTTGATAATTTGGATCTTCGAAATCGGTACTGTTTTCTGTCGATTTCTTCTCTTCACTCAGCTGTTGCTGGTGGTGGTGGTTGTGGGAGATGACACCGGGAAACGACGGGTCAAGAGAAGGAAGCTCATCAATGGAAGTAGACGCCGCCTTGAGCAACCACTCCACCGCCTTGCTCGGCTGATCACACCCTAATCGATCTTGTAAATCATAAAACTGGATAGCGGTACTTACAGACAAACGAACACGACGATCTCTCAATCCTTTCGATGTCAAAACCTTACTGTGTCTATCCTTCCCTCCCGACGCCCGAGAAACCCTAACAATTCGAGACGACGGCCATCCACATAGCCTCGCAACACCACCACCACCACCACCGCCAACGCCGCCGACGCCTACAACAACATCAATTCCTCCACCACCATCATCAACATGATTCTGCAACTCCAAATTCCCTTTATGAGTAGCTATCTTTTGAGGATTTGAAGAATTATCAGTTGTTGTAGTACTACCATTAGAAGAAACCCTTTGAAATTTACACACCTGTCTTTGAATTTCATCCACCTCCATACCCAGCTTTCATACCTTGCTTCTACAAACACCAGAATCCAAACCCACTCTAATTATCTCTCTCCCCCCAAATATCTTATCTTGAGAGAGAAAGTAGTGAAGTTGTAGAGAGAGAAAGCAGTGGTATATATTTAGAGAGAGAAAAAGTAGTAATGTGGGTGAGCAGGTGTGGTGGGGTGGCTACTAGTGTCCTTTGTATTGATGACTGGTTAGGCTTTTGTAGTCATGTATACAGACAGAGACACATATATACATACAACTATCTGTATCTATCTCTTTACAGAAGCAGAAGCAGGCCGGAAATGTCAGAGGGAACCTCCGTTTAAAGCTTATTTTTTTCCCAGCTGCTTCTCAGAAAGCAAAGCCTGTGAGCTTTCATCAGACCAGTAAGAAAAGTTTGAACCGCTAAAGGGTAAAACCGTCATTTACTAAATTAAAAGGTGTAATAATTACACGTATCTGTATAACGTGTGTTAGGGTTTCGGTTCCCCGATAATGTTTCAATCTCAAACAAAAATAACGCGAAAATGAATCATTTGAATAAGAGATATAAACACGACATTTAGGGGTTGTTTGTTGGGTATGCAATTACGAGGAAGACTCACCATTTTCACTTATCTTATAAGGTAACATTCTCGGCTATCAAAATGGATTGTTGGTAAACGTTAACCGGGTAATAGTCTTCTCTCTCACTTACATAGTAAGATTATCGTTCTTGGTAATGTTTCTTATCGGGTAAGATTTTCGGCCATTGTCATGTCCATCTGATAAGGTAAGTGAAACCTGATAAGCACTTACCCAATAACCGTTTCATAAATGGTCCCTTATGGCATGTTTGTTAGCAGCTTCATGAGTTTAATGGAACTCAAAAGCTTATTTGGTCAGCTATACATGACTATTTGATAGTGGTTTAATGATACAAAAAGTGGCTTATTCAATAAGTTTCTATGAAAAGCTTTATCCTGAAAGTGGCTTACTCACTTGAAACATGACGATCCAATACTGTGCTTTTCATTGTATAAAAAATCGTTATACAAAGCCAGGATGGATCTTTAAAAGATATGAATATCGCTCATAGACACAAGTGTTTGAATATCAAATTTGGATGAGGGTTTCGTGTTTTCAAATTCTCGTAAAAAAAGAATTGTCGCTAAAATCCGTAAGAGCAAAATGGTCTAGCAAGGGTACTTTAAATGATGGTCAAAATATCAATTCATAGTCCAAGAAAACTACGACCCAAATCGAATCTAACTTCTATTGACATCTGCGCGTTAAAACAATGTAGCGATTTAGATTGTGTAAAATTTGAATCGCTACAGATTGTAGATGTCTGTAACATATTTTTTTACAATATTTGCTTAACAGATTAAGACATTTATGAATCACTCAGAATCAATTTTTGACATTTACATACATGGACAAATAAGATGTTTGTAAATCCAATGTTTTCTCTTTTCCTTAACTACAAACACTTGCACACAAAAATCATTCAGATGTTTTCCCAAGCTGTATGGTTTTTTATACTTCTTTTTTTGTTTTTATTTTTAATAAATAATCCATTTAGTTTTTTCTTGAAAAACAATTTTATACAAAAGACTTACGGGTCGTTTACCAAACATTTACCCGGTAAAATTCAACACTATCATTTACTTACCGGATAAGATTTTAGTCAATAAAAACGGCTTTCTATGCAACAATTTACTACGTAAGAGTTGATCGTGGTAGGAGTCATTGCCCTTACTTACTTGGTAAGACACTTGGTCCTTGTCTCACTCTTACCGGATAAGATTATTGGTTCTTGTCATATTCATGCGGTAAGGTAATGTAACTTTATAAACACTTACCCGAATAATCATTTGATAAACGGCCCCTTATTTGAACTCAAAGTTTTAATTACAGGTGTTTATCAAATCGATAATTTTACAAGATGATGACTCAAATTTAATTTATCATGGAATTCTTCATGACGTGATTAGGCATGAGAATTGGCTCCGATCCGTCGGGGACGGGGATTCCCCGTTAAACCGGGTCTCAGGGACGGGGATCCCCGTTTGACTCAAACCGGGGATGGGGACAGGGATGGGTATCGCACTCCCGTCCCCCTCTGTTACCTGTATATGTATTAATTAATTGATTATATTATATAATATTTATTAATATTAATCGGTAAATGGTAATTTTTATTTCAATATATTTTGGATATTACTAGATGTGGTTTTGAATATTACTCAATATGTTTTGGTACATATGGCGTTAATTTTTTTTAATTAAATTAATTTTTTTTTGGTTTTCGATATATTAATTATTATATGATGATGTATATTTTTCTATTAAATTAAATTTCTTTTAATTTTAGGTTTATTAGAAAAATGTGAGATTTAAACATGTATAACGTCTCACTCATTTGATTTAAGAAAAACTTACCCAAACGGGAAAAAAAAAAAAACTCTGTTTCCCAACAGGGGACAGGGATAGGATGTGATCAAATTCCCCAGTGGGGACGGGGACGGGGACGGGGACAAAGATGGGGGATCAGGGTCCCCACCCCATTACCGTACCTAGACATGATTCACCAGAAGTTTGATTTTTCGAGTTTCAAAAAACGACTCACATCTCAAGATAATTTCTTGTTTTTGTTACGTATTTTTCGGTCCATTATTTGTGAACATCTGTAGCCACATGGGTTTGAATGTTTTATGATTAGATTCTTGATTTTGCCCTCTTGATATCTATATTACAGCATTTACATCAAAGTCTTAAGTACAACCAATAAGACACAAAGTATTTAGTATTTTATGTATGAATTAAAGGAATCTCTTAATTACAATATGTAAAGCATGATGTACAAGGTGTTAATGCATGGTTTTAAAACGATCCTAAAAAACCAAGTTTGGTATGTTCACAATATTCTTTATCTCCTCCAGAGTTTTCAGTTTCCTTTAGGAAACCCGTTGACCAAAACCTAGATTTTTCCAAAATTCAAAATTCAAAGGCCTTATGTTCCCAGATTGATAATTCCTGCTCCAAAGAATGATGATTCAGCTAGATCTAGTTGGTACTGTTTTGTACCAACATTGCAAATGATGAAATTACAGATTCATTTATGTTAACAATTTTACCAACTAGATCTAGATGCACAAAGACATCGAGCATCTGAAATAACATGTTCATATGTATCATACCACTTATCTCTATCTATATAACTATTCAAATAACATGTACTGCAGAGGTTGTTATTGTTAGCCGAATGAATTCAATCAAGTTTTGCATATTGATTCGTATTATAACTAGCAAATAAAAATGGCCCGTGTTTAGGGTTTAAAAACGACCCGTATTATGCCCCGTGTAGTGATTTTCCAGAACATTTTAGATCACGTATTTGTTGACTGTCAAGTGGCCTTCTCTCTTTGGAGAAAAGTGACGATTTGGTGGGGGGTTTTCAAATCACAATTTCTCATTCCGTAAAAGAGCTGCTAAAATGGTCGGAGTCGGTCAATGTTAATGGAGTGAAGCGAAAACTATTCCACGCGGTTGTTTTGTCAACAATAAGGGTGTTTTGGACATTTCGTAACATGATGCTTTGCAACAAAAAAACACGACTGGATTCTTTATTTAATCATATGATTGCAAAATCATCTTTTGGATCTCTAATACACGACTTCTAATATCATGTACCAACCAAGTTTAGATGTTTGGTATGTACTACCAACTAATTAGATTGGTACTAACTAAACTGGTACCAATTAAATTGGCACGGTTAGTACGAGAATTGGTTGGTTTATCTTGGTACAAATTTGACACCCCTGTTATAAATAGCATTTTTGTACACCTGCACCAACAAGTTATTTGATATCCAGATGAAACACTGCTCTTTTTCAAGCATCCTTCAAGATTCAAATAACATACATCTGTGAATTTCATCCCATGCAGTTATTAAGCTTCTCTGCCATGTTTTATGTATCGGGTATTTTTTTACAGTATGGCATGGCGTCAAGGTTTTACAGAGCTGTTTAGTACATACATATTTAGTTCACCAATCTTCTGGGAGTTAGGTCTCAATTGTTTGCATCTTTTTCTTACCATTTGATGCACTTGTTTGGTTCGTTCCTAATATACACGTAGATGTACATATTCACACATTTTAAACCATATTAATAAACATCATGGTCCAGGGACGTACCTATAGTGGTGCATACGCTAGCACGTGCCACCGTATTATTCCTTCGTCGAATGGTAAAAAATTTAGGTTCGTGAAAAGTGCAACCGTATTAATTTGTTGTATGCCACAATATGTATTTTGAAACTACAATGAGAACAAGTTTTATTTGGTATAGTTGGTTTGCAAGGCTTTTATTCCACCCCAGACCCGAGTTCGAATCCTGTTAGTGTCATTTTCTTAGTCAAATGGTGTCACCGTTTGAATTTTTTTCCCTATATCTTTTTCTTATAGCCAAACGATGCCACCGTTTGAAATTCTTTTATGGGTCCGTCCCCGTCATGGTCAGGTTTTCATGTAGTGAAATAACACAATTTAATATAAAAACCAATCGTTGTTTCATACACTAAACGGTTTTACAATTTGGAGATCTAACTTCAGTGAGTCAATTTGCAATCCGTAAAATTGTCAAAAAAATACACAACTAGCTTTTTAATGGGACCCACCAACATCAAAGCAGACCAATAAAACGCAGAGTACGTGAATCAAGAAGCATACTCTATCTTAACATCACAACGTACAATAAAAAGATCTTTATTACAGATTAAACTTAATTCAATATCAGATATTTTAGATATTTAATAAATAAAATATGGAGTTAATGGTTTATTTCAACAAATGAAGGTACTTGTAAGTTGTAACCTACTTTGTCCGTACAAGCAATTATGTGTCTCAATGCTCCCACCATTTGCATTGTCCTAATAATATTAATTTTATTCAAATTAGATGATGGGTCTTAGGGAATTGTATAGATCCCACTCAACATTATATATTTTATTATATTTTTTAATGATTTATCTGGTTTTTTCAGTTACTGGTTTATGTAAAGTGTTCTTTACACATAAATTCGATAAACAGTTCCTTCTTTCCGAATACAGGTAATGTGTATGGCTTGAGTATACAATATATGATATTTATCTCGTAATCACATGTGAATAAGTGTGTATGTGTATATATACAGTATATCTGTTGGATATCAGCAATTTGAAATTTTGTATTCACAAAATATAATTCAAGTGTACTTCTTCCAACCTGATTTTTGATAAAGTGATACTGGGTGTCAATGTGTTTTTAGTCTTTGTGTGCTGAACAAGATTGCAAGAAATTGCA